ATTTGCCCCCCCCCCACCCCACCCCTGGGGCGCAACAAACTAGGACCAGAGCGCGCGGCAACGTGCGACTGTGGATGGGCCGGCACGCCCCGAGGTTGCGATTGCGGGTGGGCTTGCGCATCCAAAACATGCGAGAACGGATGGGCCGGCACGCCCAAGCAAGACCCCGGCATTCTTCATCAAGACTCCGAAACTCTTCGCCCCCCCGCCCGACACCAACCCTCTCGCAGTTCGTAGCTCGGCGCTCTGCCGAGCCGCCAGCAAGCATCCATGCGCGAAGTCATAAGGGCAACGAGTGCAATCTCTTCGACGCTCTGGCAGCGAGCCCAACTCGGCTTTCACAGCGTGGAACAAATAGAATACGATGATCATCCTGCGGATGACCGCCAGGCGAGCGTCGTCCAGGGAGGCGTGGTCTTGCTCGAAGCCCGATCCCCAGATGACCAGTAAACGGGGGATCGGGAAGGCGCGGGGGAGGGCGGTAAAATGCGTCAGACGAGGGCACTGCCAATAATGGCGCAGCGAGTCCTGTGCCGAGCAACCGAAGTGGCAAGGCCGAGGCTTCAGGACATGCATTCTGCGGGACGTGCTCCAGCCCGCGCAGAGCGTCTTCATCACGCACCAGTCATGGGCTGGGGATGGCTGCGCGATCTCCCGCCGAAGGGCCTGCCAGCGAAGCTCTGGGTCGGCAGGCACCTCGCATGAGGGATCCAGCACCCCTAAACGCTTGGCGATAGTGGGGGAGAACGTGTCGGGGAACACGGACGTAGATAGAGAGCGAACTGCAGCCCGCTGAAGCCCAGCGCGCTGACCGTCGCGTTCCGCTTGGGCGACCTCCTCGCGGCTGGCCCTATGGGCGGCGCGCACATAGGCAGCCGAGACCTGTCGACGAGAGGAAATCCGGATGGGGCAGCCGCCAGCCATCGAAGGGTACATCTCACCGATTCTCACAGGAGGAGGAGGAGGAGGAGGAGGATACCGCTCCAGCCCACGAAACTAAACATGAGGAGAGAGATGAAGAAGAGCAGCTCCGAAGTCCATGACAGCTGTCTTGACCTTGTGAGTTTCCTCGTCCAAGCCACGGTGGGCGAAATGCTCGTGCCAACGAGCAGCTCGCTTGGCCCCTGAATCCGCCGATCCTGTCGGCGTGTGTGAGGGTTTTTTCCGTTCGAGTCGTCGTCTTCATCATTCGTTCATCGTCGTCTCTGTCGTCCTCCTTCCCTGCGCTTTCCTTTCCCTGTGCCTCTCGCCGCTCCTTGCTCTCCTTTCCTGGGCTCTCCTCCTCAAGCGCGTCAGCCAGAGCGAAGAATTGAGCAACGTCGGCATACTCTCGAAAGAAAGCCGCTTCCCTTTGATCCCTCCTCCGCCAAGGGGGGGGGGGTCCCGGGTCCGGACCCAGGGGGGGTCCCGGGTCCGGACCCGGGTCCAAACCTGGGGGGGGCCCCGGGTCAGATACGCTTCCCCTCCGGGGGCTCCCGGAGCGGCAAACAAGCTTCAAGACGGGCCACGAGTGCCCCAGAAGCGTCCAAAGACAGTCCACGAGGGCCCCGAATCGCCGAACGACCTGTCAAAGACGCCTGGACGGCCTCGAGACTGCCCAAGTATCTTGCAAGACGCTCCGAGCAGTCCCAAGAGTGCCTCGAGAACAAAAATCGTTGATTTTCCATCTATTGTTGCAAGATTTCAGCGTTCTCGTCTCTCCCGCTCCCCGACGCTCCAAGACGGCCCAAGCGGCCTCCCAGATCGCACCCAGACAGCCCCAGAGGGCTCCACGAGCGACCAAAAACGGCCAAAAGACGCTTGGAAGGCGTCAAGACGGCCGAAGGATCTTGCAAGACGCTCGGAGCAGTCCCAAGAGTGCCTCGAGAACAAAAATCGTTGATTTTCCATCGATTGTTGCATGATTTCGGCGTTCTCGTCTCTCCCGCTCCTCGACGCTCCAAGACGGCCCAAGCGGCCTCCCAGATCGCACCCAGACAGCCCTGGAGGGCTCCACGAGCGACCCAAAACGGCCAAAGAGACTCCCAAGACGGCCCAAGACGCCTCCGAAAGGGCCCCAGAGGCCCCCAAGACGGCTCCAAGGCGGTGCCGAGACGATGGACCAAAACGGACATTGGCCCGAGTGCTCCCAGGAGAAACCAAGGGGCCTCCAAAAGGCCCCCAAGAAGCCCCGAAGAGACCCCAAGATGCTCCCGAGAGGCCCTAGGGAAACCCCAACAGGCCCTCACGAGGCTCCCAAGAGACCCGTACACCGTCCCCCGAGGCCCCCAAGAGCGTTTCGACCAGACCCCAAGAAGCATCCCTGAGGACTCTGACCCACGTCAGCGTCGTCGTCGTCAGCGTCGTCATCGTCGTCGGCGGCCCGACGGCGTATACACAGTAAAGTGGTTGCCGCGCTGCCCTTTTGGCTGGGTGGCGACACACCACCCCCATCCTGGTAGATGGCGAATCCAGGGCGACTCCTCCGCCATCCAGCTCCTCATCCCTCCTCCTCCTAATTATCTTCCCTCTTGCATCCTATTCCCCATCCCCTTCACCTCATCCGTCCCCCTTCTCCTCCTCCTCCCTCCCGTTCCTTAGCTTTTTGGATGTGTTTCATCGTCGCTGTCGTCGTCGTCGTCGTCCCCCTTCAGGGTCGGCGGCACCGGCCGTAAGGCCTTCGCAATCGGCGAAACAACTGCCCCGCCAAGTGAACCGTTCGTGGTCCAAGATCCCGTGTTTGCTGAAGGTCCTTCTGAGCATCAGCGTTCCTGAGGCTAGGGAGGGAATTACCAGCACATGCGGCCCCATGAATCAAGAGTCCTTCCAGGAGAGGTGTACCTTCCAGGAGAGGTGTACCTTCCAGGGCCCTCAAGGAAAAGGTCAGCAGCATTCCTAGAATCATGTTTAGGTTAGCCTCCGACGCCAGCAACACGGAGGCCCCCAAAAGGCCCAAAAAACTCCGCCGACTGGGAGGTCCGAGGGCAGGGAGCCCATGCAGGAGCCGTGACGTCACAAAGGATCTTGGCCCCTTGGATCTGTCATGGCCAGGCACCAGGCACTGCGAGGAATGTGAACCACTGGGTGCTTGACGAAACTGCCGTCCATGAGCACGTGCCCCCAGAGACCGAGGAAGGGACTACGTTTAAAGGAAACTGACCTCCTCCTCCTCCTCCTCCTCATCATCATCATCATCATCACCACCACCACCACCACCACCATCATCATCATCATCATCATCAGCATCATCACCACCACCACCATCATCATCATCATCATCGTCATCATCGTCATCATCATCATCATCATCATCATCATCAATATGGTCCTCCTCCTCCTTCAGCTGCAGGGCTGTAGCGCTCCTCGTGCAGTCCAAAAACATCGGCCGGCTTAGCAATGCGAACAAAACGAATCAGGCCGCAGCCTGGTGCAGATAATGTAGCGCAGAAAAAGAAAAGAAAATAATGGTGACGCCTATAGGCAAAGTAACCGAGTCCGCGGCAGTGCAGGGAAGGGAGGATCATAAAAATACAACTATGTAAACCAGATCGAAAGGGGTACGACGAATGAGTAGGAGACTAGTTCCTCTTCCTCCTCCTTCTCCCCCTCCTCGTCCTCCTCATTGTCACCACCATTACCATCAGCATCACTACTGTCAGCACCATGAGCGGCACCACCATCACTACCATCGCTACCATCACCACTACCACCAGCACCAGCACGACCATCGTCATCATCATCAGCAGCATCAGCATCAGCATCAGCATCAGCATCATCATATTCATCATCTTCATCATCAGCATCATCATCAACATCATCATCACTCCCACCCTCATCCTCATCATTATCAGCAGCAGCATCATCAGTATCATCATCATCATCATCATCATCATCATCATCAGCATCAGCATCAGCATCAGCATCATCATCATCATCATCATCATAATCATAATCATAATCATAATCATCATCAGCAGCAGCAGCATCATCATCATAATCATCATCCTCATCATCATCATCATCATCATCATCATCATCATCATCATCATCATCACCCGCATCATCATCAGCAGCAGCATCAACCTCACCATCATCACATTCATCGTCATACTCATCCCTCTGATCATCCTTCTCTCTTCCATTTATCCACCCTCTCATCCCTCGCTCACTATCCCTCCTTGACCTCCTGCTCCTCGTGCTCCTCCCCATCCTCTTCATTCTCGTCACCCTTATCCACCTCCTCTTCTTTCGTCGATTCCCTTTCGTCTTTGATGTCCTCCACCTCATCCTCCTCCTCCTCCTCGCCTCGTCCTTCGTTCCATCCTCCCCCTTCTCCTCTTCCTTCTCATCATCGTCGTCGTCATGATCGTCGTCGCCACTATCACCATTGTCGGCCTACTGCTACCCGGACTCCTCCCCCTCCTCGGCCGTTACTATACCCTTACCAGAAAATCGACCGCAGCGGTGCAAGGTAGGGGCCGCGTGAGCGCAAAGCTGCCCCACGCCCCAACGGCCCTCACGATTGAGACGGCCAGCATCCTCCTCCTCCTCCTCCTCCTCCTCCTCCTCCTCCTCCTCCTCCTCCTCCTCCTCCTCCTCCTCCGCCTCCACCTCCTCATCCTCCTTTCCACCCCTTCCGCCTCCTCCTCCCCCTCCTGCTCATCGCCTCCTCCGCCTCCTCCTCGCTCCTCGCCTGCCCCCCTTCACGCAGCCCATATCCCTTCCCTTCCCTCTGTCACCCCTTGGCTGGCTCCGGAAACCCTGAACCCCCAAACATGCACATCTTGAGGGCAATATCTTACTTCCGCCAGCGTCCGCCAGGCTCCCGCCACCTTCCGCAGAGGAAGACCTGACAAGTTCTCGATCCCCCGAAGGCGAGTCCCTTTCTAGAGCGCCCTTCATGTCGTTCTACTCTCCCCATCCCATCTTCTCTTCTCCCCTCCGTCCCCGCACTCCATCTGCTTCCATTCTCTGCCCACCCTCTTCCGCCTCCTGCGCCTCAGAGAGGAGGCGGCGGCATCCTCCAGCGACACCGCCAGGGCAAGGTACTCACCCAGAGAGTCCCAGCGCAAGTGGTTCTCCTCTTCGGGCATTGGAAGGTGAGCAAAAGCAGCTAAGGAGGTACAGCGCGCTAAGGGTGCAGCATCGTCGAAGCACACGCCACCACCCGCCGCCCTCCCCGGCTGCCGCAGAGGAGAAGGGGGTGGAGGAATAGAAGCAGCAGGGGGAGGAGGAGGAGGAGGAGGAGGAGGAGGAGGAGGAGGAGGAGGAGGAGAAGAAGAAGAAGAAGGAAGAATAGGACCCCAGGAAGTCCGAAATGGCCTCCTAGATGGCATAGGGTGCCCTCTGGCATGCCTCCAAGGGTCCCCAAAACCGCCACCAGGTGGTTCGAGATGGCATCGGAACCTCCCTCCTCGGCGTCGAGATGGCATGTGCCAAAATCAAAGAATCAAAAGCAGCAGCGTGGAGTGGAGACTCCACGCTGCAGTGTCCCAGCGGAGCACCGCGGCCAACACCCGGGGGCCGTCTCAAGCGGCGAAAAAGGGAAATCAGGATGCCGGGTCCTTGCCGTCGCTCGGATGTCCATTTCCCGTGCATTTGTCGGTGTCGTGCGTGTTTTTTTTGCTCGATGGTCCAGGATGGTCCTCGATAGTTCTCGCCGAGAAAAAGTGCACACGTCCGAGCGATGCCGAGGGTCTGGACGGCAGGAACACGAGGCGTTGGGGCGTCCAAGCTGCCCCTTGATGGCTCGAGGGTGGCACCAAATGGCCCAAGAGCGGGCTCAAACGCTGGCGGGCACGCTCCCTCCCACTCTCGCGCCCGCGTGCGTGCGTGCGTAGGTGCGTGCGCGCTCGCGTCTGCGAGCGCTCGGTTGCCAGTGGGGAAGGCCACGCGCCAGGACCCAGACCCCCGACATCGTGACTTTTCCAGCGTCGACCCCCAGAGGTCTGGACCCCTTCCCTGGGACCGGCTCCTCCTCCCGAGTCTTCTGCTGACGCTCCCGAGGCCCGGCGAGGGCCCCCGGAGGCCGAACTTTCAGCAAAAAGCCTCCCGCCGCGATTTGTTTGTCACGGCGCGAGGAGGTCTGGGGTGAAGTCGGGCCTGTCCCCCTACAGGGGGATTTTCGACGAAAAATTCAAAATACCCCCAAAAAATAATCGAACAATAATCCAAAAATCATCAGGGGACTATTTTTTTGAAAATTTATTTTGACCTCTTGGGGGGCATTTTTGGGGTATTTTTTTATTCATCTGTCGCCGAAAGTCCCCCTGTAGAGGGGGACACGCCCGACAGAAGTCTGGGGACGTGGACCCCCGCGCCGACCCCCGCCGCCCCCTCGGGGGCCCGCGGGCCCCCCCCCCCCCCCCCAGGCGCGCCGCCTCTGGGCGCGGCGGCGGCGGCCACCCGCCGAGGGCGCCGAGGCGCCGCAAGCCCTCGGCCGGGGCAAGCGGCCTGGGCGAGGATCTCCAGGGGCCCAGGGGCACACAAAGAGATACGCGCGCACAGCTCCCAAGAGGCCCCAGAACTCCCCCTGTTTCCGGGGTTTTCGTCTTCCCCCTCGCTTCCCACAGTTTCCGCCCTCCGCGGGGGGGACTATCACGGGGTTCGAGGTTCGATGATTTAGATTTTTGAAACTTGTTTGGCATTCTCAAATTCGCCGGCCCAACGGGCCAGAGGCGTGCTAAAATCTCCGGTAACTACTTACTTGGCAATAGTTCTAGCCAGCCGGGACCCGGCCGGGTCCCGGGCGATCCCCAGGGGGGGGGGGGCTATTTTTCGCCACCCCTCACGAGGATCGTGGCCTCCGAGGGGATGGCTGCAATGGATTACCCCCCCTCCCGCCCCAAGGGGCCCCCAACACGAGAAAGTCCCCGTCGCCGCTCAAGTCCGCATCCGTCGGCGCCCCTGAAGGGTGTAGGTCCCCAGAACGCTCCCCTGCTGGAACCCAGCCCCGGCACCCTGGGAACCGTGCGCGCGGCTCAAGCCCCATCGAATGAACTGAACGTGTTTGATCAATGACTGCTTGAACCAACGTGGCCTCACCGAGAAAGGGGGCGCGATGCAGGGTGAGGGGCGGACAACTGCCCAGAGGCGACAGTGTGCTTGCGAGGAGGTCGGAAGCAACCGAAGGGACGTAGCGGGTCTCTGCGGTGATCCGGGAATTCGGGGACGGGCCGACGCGTCCCAGTGCGTGGCATAGCACAGCCTAGCAGATCACGACAGCAAGATTGCTCAGCAATGAGATGCACAACATATCATATCAAATCGGTGCATCCTCTAACATGCGAAGGCATATCCGCCACCGTGCCTCGAGACACGAAATGGAGTGTCCTCGGGTCCCTGTATATATTCGCCCAGGGGACCGCAGCCCACTGTTCCGGGTGCTCCCGGGCCCTCCTGGGCGCTCCCACGCGCTCTCGCTGGTTCCTGGCGTAACTTTTCCAGAGGCCAAGAGCGCGTGGCTCGGCAACTGCATGTCCCACATGTCCCACGACGGCCCCGAGGGTCGCCCTGGAGGCCCCTTGGGCGCCTCCCAGGCCGTCGTGGAGACCTCGAAGAGCGGGCGGGGGAACCCCAACGGGCGGGTCGGGTCGGGCGGGCGGGTCATCACCAAAGCCTGGTGCGTCCTCCGGGTAGCGCGCGTGCACGGCGGGGCGGTCGGGCCCGGCGGGCGGACCCTTTAACGGACGACTCGGGGCCGGCGGGCGACCCCTGGCGGGCGGGTCGGGGCCGGGCGGGCGGGTCATGAAAGCATGGTGCAGCATCGAGTCGGCACGCGTGGCACGGCGGGCCGGCCGGGTCGGGAGGGCGGACCCTAACGGGCGGGTCGGGTCGGCCGGGCAGGTCGTAAAGCATGGTGCATGATCGAATTGGCGCGCATGCGCGGCGACCCAGTCGGGTCGGCTCAGCGGGCGCAGCTCCGCGCCTGAGTCGAGGCCACACGACGGCCCCAAGACGGCTCCAAGTGGGGCGCATCCCTCACACGGATCAGGCCCCGCAGGGACAGGCGAAGACGTGCGCAGAGGGCCCAGGCCCTGTCCTCGACAAACTGCTGCACGTGCTTCGGCGCCGAGCCGCCCGCGCCGGTCTCGTACATGCCGCCGCCTGCGGCGCAGGACCTCCTCGTCCTCCTCCTCCTCCTCCACCTCCTCCTCCTCCTCCTCCTCCTCCTCCTCCTCCTCCTCCTCCTCCTTTCCTCTCCTGCTCCTCATGCTCCTCCTCCTCCTCCTCCTCTCATCCTCCTACTCCGCCTCCTTCTCTCCTCCTCCTCCTCTCCTCGTCCTCAATACGCCTCACCGCGTCTCCTGCTTCTCCTGCTCCTCCTCTCCCTACTCCTCCTCCTCCTCCATCTCCTCCTCCTCCTCCTCTCCTCCTCCTCCTCTGTCCTCCTGATCCTCCTCCTCCTCCTCCTCCTCCTCCTCCTCCTCCTCCTCCTCCTCCTTCACCCGCCCGCTCCTTGCAATCAGCTTGTGGCATGTCGGCCGACGGGCAAACTTGCAGCCTCAGCGGGCGGCATGCAGCCGGTGACCCCGAACGCTTGCGCCGAAGACGGCACCGTGCGGCACGCAGCGTGGCGCTGCGCCGCCTTGGACGCCGATCGTCGCCAACGCGCCACGGACTTCGCCATCGACGAGGAGAGGCAGGCGCCCGTAGACGACCTGGAGCAGACCGCCATGCAGGAGCGCGGACTCGTGCCTGACCCTGCAGAGCGTCACCCACCACCGAGCTCCACAATCGGCATCGTGCCTGCGGGGCCACTTCTGCATCGCAAAGTGCATCTGGACGGCAGCGCAACTTGTCCTAGTGACCAGGTCATTGTCCGCGTGGGCTGGGCGGCGCTGACGATGGTCCACGACCTCGCATCCCATGCGGATGTCCCGACGCAGTCGTCTCTGGTCTGGCCGAGGCCTTTTCAGGAGAGCGGGGCCGCGGAGATCTTCGCTGCGTGGAGTAGCATAGTGCACGTGGACGGCGGCCTGTTGGAGGGGCTGTCGGGCTCCCAGACTTTTGTCGATGGTTTCTATGGCGGCTCCGACAGCATCGACTTTCGGGTGCCTTACGCAGCCATTTGGCGGAAGTTCTGGCACGCAGCTTGCGAGTATGGCATGGCCAACATCACAGTAACCAAGATTCCAGCGCACGCTCCGTGGGGATACATCCTCGAAGGACGCATCACAAGTGCCGAACGACTCGGAAATATTGCGGCGGACCGCATGGCCAAGGCCGCGGCGCTACGACACCCGCAACTACCGTGCCTCCGGGAGCAAGTATACATTGCGAGGCGTACGGCTGCTGACATCGCCTACTGGGTGGCCAAAGCGGTGTACATCGGCGAGGCGCTGTTGCGTGCACCTGACTGTTGGGGTGCGCCGCCACCGGAAACGGTGACTTGCGCCTATCCCAAGTGCGGGCGGCGGCGTTGTGGACCATGTCTGCCTCGCACGGTGCACTGCGACTGGCACATGTGCGACCGTCATGGGACAGCTACACACTTGTTTGATTCGCGGGTCGAGAGCGCACCTCTTCCGGTCGAAGCCACGCGGGCCGCGCGAAGCTTGAATCAACCAGGGAAGGGGGAGGAGAAAGGGACAGCTACACACGTGGGCCCTGCGATGCTGGCCGGCTTGCCCAGCTTGTGCCAGAAAGGCTGGCGCGGAAACATCTCCAGGAGGGCGCGCCGCGCTCCGGTACGACCCTGCAGCGCGCCACGAGCTGCGGCGCACCCGCCGCGAGACCACAGCTGGCGGGCAGGGCGCACTCACAGCCGCTCGCGCTCGTCAGCGTGGCATCCCGTCAGCAGCCAGTGGAGCCGGCGCCCAACCACAGCCGTGTCTCGCGACGGCGGCTGCGGTGGCCGCGACAGCCTCCTTTGCAGCGGCGGCAGGTGCGGAGCCAGGCCGGAAGCAAGCGCCGCGTGCACTGCGATGGGCTCCTTCCGAACCCCTGCAAGCTCGAGGACCCGCGGTAACGGCCGCGATGGCGCCCCGAGCTGAGGCCCCACCGTCACCTCCACCACTGGACGCCGACAGACCACCAGTGCGGGAGCGTCCCACTGCTGTGCTGTTTGCGCCCAGGGCTTCGAGGCCACGTGCGACCGTCCACGACGACAACATGCAGGCTGGCAGCAGCACATCGGCCCCTGCTGCGCCCGCCTCTTCCATCCACGTCCCCGGAACCGCTACAGCAGCAAGTACGGCATCAAGGAATACAGCTGCCTCAGGCAATGCAGGCGAGCTCGCCGACGCTGGCCGCCGCGACGGACAATTCAATCGAAGTGGTCGCAGTAGAACATTCCGTCCTGGTGGAACGTGCCATTAGATCCTTCGCACGTGCTTTACACAGCAGGTGCCAGAGTTTTGTTGCAGGAAGTGTGGCAAGCACGGG